TTTGGTCGATGACCCGTTAGCCATGAAGCCTGAAAAGTGTTTTATCTAAAGGTGAACTATTAATGAGGACTATTGATTTTGAGCATGTCTTTGAAGATGAAGGGTTTGGCCATCGAACGGCCATCAACGCCAGAAGCCTTGACCAAAATCTTGAGTGATATTGGTGATAGATGGAATTAATTAGCTCTCTCGCCAACCCACATACTAAAAGAAAACAAACACAAAAGACCGAAATCTATACTAATTCAACAGGCAAGACAATCTTTCTATCAATAACGGAAAGCAGTATGACAGTATTAGCTCTTAGTAGTTTCATGGCAAAGGTTGGTTAACCAATAACAGTGCGATATGAGCCGTTTTAAATGAATAGTAATGTCCTGCCTGTCTTGTGACACCTTAAATTGTAGCTTAAACAATTGGTAAAAGATCAGATACGTCCGCTTCCAACAGACTGCTGCAGATATTGCTAACTACGAGCTCAAACGTATTGTTTTAAGATTTATGTGACAGCTGAAGAATGATCTCGGCGACAGTCTTATTTCATCACTGTACTCAATGTTTAACTTGCAATAAACATTGCTTACGTTCATTCTGAACCTATTGTACCTTATAATCCCCTATTCTAATAATCCAAGTTCATAGCAAGGCTAATTATTGTCATTTATTAGACAAGATGTCTATTAGGAGTAATAATATCCAGGATACACGATATGAGTCAGGCTTATAGAGTCAAATTACGATAAAAGCCTTAATTGAAATGGTAATTATAATTTAGTAATAGCAGTTTGTCATACGGAAGATACAAGATTTGAAATCTGAGGCCTTGACATCCTCTGTCTTTTTCAAGCTTCCAAAAATAACCGGAAGTTAACTCAACAATACATATTTCGCTCACGATGATACTGAGTGAGAGTGATTCCAGGTCGACCTGCTACTGGCAGAATAAGAGAACATTCCGGTTTTGAACGACTGTCAGCAAATGGTGGTATTTTGGGAAATTAGATTTAGTTCCCGTAAATGATAGTTGCTGTATGTTGCTTATGTGCTAGTCTCTGCCACATTATAATCCAACTAGAACAAAAAAAAGATGAGCAGAAAATCCTCAGAGCTTTTTCAGTTCATTTGCTCAAGTGATGTTGTTGTTCAGTGTAAAACCAGACCTGTAACAAAAGGCGAGGAATTCTAATTCTTCGTTCATGTCATTAGCTGTGCAGACTTAAACACAAAAACATTCAATTCAATCCACTATACAAGTATACTTATATATCTTCAACAACAAAACTTAAAACCTCTTCTTTATGTGCCGGCAAGTAATTTTCTAAAAGGTAAGACATCATTTCATTTGCCTAATAACTAGAGATCTGCACCACTTGTTATTTTACTGACCTGTAATTTCCTCAAAAATAGAACGAAAAAAGTAGGTCTCATTTCAAAAAGCAAAACCTCTTTTAGTATTAATGTTGTTAGGGGGAAGTCGACACAGAGCTGTCTTTCTAGAACACTGATACACGCGTCAGATTTGTCCATACCTTGAGGAGGATGTTGTCTTGATAAGTTATAAAACATTTGATTCAGTAGTGGTGCACTAGTGTTCTAGACTACGTTTAATTTTAATAGCTTAGTAAGTCACAAAACAGTAGAGATAAAAGCTTGAACTTCAGCTAATCCATCTCGGAAGTTCCAATAGTCAATATGACTGATATGTTTCTGATATGATACCACGATATAATCTATGATTATTTGATTCTTTCACCCAGATTTTTAATTAAGTGTTTTTTTTCTGTGATGGATCAAATAATATTTTAGATTAATATTATATTTATCTTTCATCGTTTCTGTTAGAACGGAACATCAGAAGAGTTTTTACAGAGGTTATTAATTGATCATTCGACCTCGAAATCTATGGAAAAGTAATCATGGACTGGAGGGTTTCCGTGGTAATCTAACTACTTTTCAATCTAGATTAACAGCATTGTTTTCACTGGCTGAAAGTGGTATGAATATCGGCTTGCGCTTGAATCTGAGTAAGTAAATTGTTAACATGGGGTCTTACATCCGAACATGTCTTCAAAGTTCTATCGCGTTTGATGCAAACGCGGGATTAATCTAGCTATGGTTTGTATCAATAGATTTACACACAATGACAGCAATGATTGTAACAAATCAAGGTGTTCGAAGACGAAAAACCATGTCTCTAGGGTTACACCTACGACTGTTCGTATCTGGTGTATAGATTTATAGATCGTAAGTAATGTTTCTTCTATATTGGGGTAACTAATATTGAATAAGATGAAAATATGAATTGAAACCCTTGCTTCATAGATTGGCTTTGTGAGTAGTTTTTGGAAACAAAATCGTAAGCCTAGGATAATGGTCAGGCAAGCTGTGAGGGCGAAGTATAGATATAAAAATAGGTCACCACTGTTTGAAGTCGCATCACAGATCTTACCTACCTAACTGATAATTATCCTGCTCTAAGCAAGATCAGTAAAGTAACATTTTGAAATGAAGCATTTTTTCAAAATATCAACGGCTTTGTTAAGGTTGTTTTTCAGTGACAAATCTCTTTCTCTGAATTGGCAAATTAAGTAAGAGTGTTGCTTATATAATGAAGTAAAATTTGCCTATACAGTAGGGTAAAAGAAGGAGTGTAAGAACTATTTTAATTTCAAACCTTGTGAACGATTTGTTTGTTAAAATGCTCAAGGATATTTTGGCTGGTTTCACTTAACTAAAAAGTAAAAGGTAAAAAGGTTGATGTCAAAAACACCATGTAGGAAAACAGAATTCCTTTCAACAATACTGCCCTCTAGCGTCGGTTAATAAATTGATTCTATAGAAAAGGATTGATGAAACTAGGTTCTTTCAAGATGAATGAATGAATAAAATAGAATGTGACGTTTAGAAGGTTAATTAAGTGAGAGTATTATTACTAGGAGAATTGCAATATTGTAAGGATCTTGTTTGGATAATCTAATGAAGAACGACCTTTTCATTACGTTCTTAAATTGATAACGATTTTCTTTTGAAACTGGTTCAATGTTCCATTCCAACTGACTTGTGTGTTGGTATCGTTATTCAAGGAACCTTATGTCGATTTTCACGCAGGTTCTTAATTAAGTGTTTGTGGAAGTTCTAATGACGAACGCAGAAAATAAAATTCATTTGTTAGGCCTCGTTCGCAAAGTTTGTAAGGGTTTTAATTCAATCTGAAATCATTGCAAACTTTCTAATAATTTATCTAATAATCATTAACACTACGCGTCTACGATGCCGGGTTTGACAATTCTTACAACCTACCGAAGATTTATCAAACAAATTTTCAGTCTAGTGATTTAGGAATATTGCAATTGTTATCTTAATCGAATTTTAAATTTAAATACCATCAATCAGTTTCTAATAAAAGACAAACACCGTTGAATTTCTTGATTCAATTCTGAATGGAGAGACTAATCAAGTGACGACGGCCTTGACACAAGTTGACAGATATCTAAATATTGTGATAAAAACAGAATAATCTTCTTTATTCCGTGACTCGATTAACTAGCATCGTTTTGTTATATTTCCTAGGTCAGTTATGGCTGTTCTCTCTTTGGTTGTAATAAATGTTCTAAGTGGATTATTTCGTGTATGAGAGTGAGATACAGACACTGTCCTAGTGTAGCCACAGAATTAACCTGACAACGACCAATATGTTCTCAGACCATTAAACTTATTATGTAAATGACTGACGAATGTAGTCCATGCTATTTTGAGAAATTTTCTTTCTACCTCACTTTTTGTGTTCTTAAGCCTATTTTTGACTAATTTTTGGTCTAGATTTGGAATTTGATGTTTGAAATTGCATCTTCTTTCTGATTTTGTGAGATGATGAGAGATTTCCATGTCGAAGAATAATTCTAAAAAATAGTTGTTTTGTGTAGAGCAACAATCGTTCGTGATTTAACATTGAAACACATGTCAAATGAATTACCGGTCTTAGTCCATAATATGTGAACCAATGGTCTTAAAAGGAGAGCCTGATGATAATCGTAAACAAACAAAGAACATTGTGCTAACAAAAAATAGTACCGTAAAATACTAACTGTAAATAATTATCGCATTTTTTGTTTTTGTACTTGTATTTTACTTTATCCTAGGAACGTGCACGAATACAACAAAATGTACGACACCTTTGTGACAAACACGAGTTACTCTGTATATTAGTTTAAAATTAATCCAGATTAACTGACCGATGGGAAAACGTGATTTGAATATATTAATCGATGAAATTACCAATAGGTAATGATATTTTAGAATAGTGGGCATTTGATAATCCGGATTTTATGGCATTTAGGAGCTAATTAAACGTACCCATTTACAGCTGGGTGGACTAGAATTAGTGCTTATGACTTATTCAAGATCACCGGACTTTCACACACCGACTGTAATTAGAACCCACGACCACCATTTGTAAAGAACCAAGGCTCTGACTGTATCTATCGCAGAACTACCACGGGCCTCTTGAAATTGTGTGATTCTGATTTAACAACTCAACAAATAGCCAAATTTAATTACTCATTTTAAATTAACTTTCTTCACTGAAAGAAGTCGAGAAATTATTGACTTTGAGTAATAAACTTCTAGTTTAATGTTTTAAGTAATTTTTTATCTTATATTCGTTCAGTCGTTCAACATTTTTCCACGGCGGTTTATTGACCAAAAAGAGGCCTGTGGTAGTCATGATTACAGCAGTGGAACAATACAGTATGAAATTCTTGGTTAAAAACTGTGTAATTGTTTTCGTTTCCTACAGGTGCAGTTGTTACCTTTTAAAAACGATCTTTACAGTAATCAGTTACACAATACTCTATCGGTTGGATGGTTGAAATCTTGTTTTCAAATTGATCGTGTCCACTTTAATTCAAATCTTGAAAAGCTGTGCAACTCTAAAGCATTTTACACGTCCATGTTTTTGTGAAGATCATCCCGAAACCCCGAGGAAAGTAAACGTTACTTACCGTTCAATACAGACTGAAACCAGCGACATCACAGATGCGTACAGCGACACAACTAGTGTAAATCTGTTAAACCGACACAGCCCTTCCCCTAATAGCCATCCACGATTCAATATAAACTGTACCAGTTCCGGTATTCCAAAAGTCATAATCAAAAAATCAGCAATGGCTAAATTCATAATAAATATATTCGTGACGGATTTTCTCATTTTCCTATCAATCAAAATCACAAAAATAACTAAGCCATTCCCGATAACACCGACAATTACGATCGACCCGAAGAGTAAAGACAGTCCAATTATGCTTCCTACATCCGCATGAGGAGCTTCCATAGGCATCCGTTCTAACGTTCTTTCTAAGGTGGAGTTACTGGCGTTCAACATGTCTGATCGGAGAGAACTCGAGTTCGATATGTCGTTCCGTAGATAACTCGAGTACACCAATGATTCTGGGGTGACGTTCGTCATTTTCGTCTCATTACCTGTAATACAACAAAGTAATTTAATCAAAAATAAAACTAATGGGGAAATCACTCATTTCATTTGGAAGGGTATTTTTTACTAATAAAAGTCAATTTCTTGAAAATTAACAGATTCGTACGTCAGTAATGGCGACGGAACAAATATCAACAGCAAAACGTATGTTACCAATGTTACTCTGATGATCTGAGAGAGATCTGCTCTTAGAATATGGTTCAACAATATCGACTATTCAGATCAGAATAAGTTTTCGTACAGCAGTCGCATGTAGACTCGTTTGCAATCAAAAGGTATAATATATTTCATTGAAATCGCTATATACATTTTGAATACTTTTGTGGCAGATTTGATTGAGGACTAGAATAATAAAAACACAAGGAACCATGCTGTGTCTTATAAACCGTTCTAATATTATAAATAAATATTGCCGACACTCTGATATAAGACATACAGGTTATTATTGCCATGTTAAAGGTATACTACCCCTTAGGATGACCAAAAAAGAAAAGTTTTAAACTTGGCCACAATGAGTCTTGTTCATCAGTGGACTTAACTTGATATGACTATACAGCAGAATATTTCAATGACCCTTTAGTTTTATCCTATTATATAGAGATTATATTCTGTGTTCGTGGGATGTAACTATATTAGAACAGGATAAATATCTTGTTTAAACTCTGTTTTTAGAACAGATGTCCTGTTATCTTGTAGTTAAAAAAGCCGTATGCTAGATAGAAGCAATATGATATTATTTTAAGCCGATAGTTGTTTAGGAAGGTGAATTTACCTGTTAGCAAACAGGAAACTCGGTTACTAAACAATAGAATACTAGTATTGCATCGAACTCTCGTTCAAAATCTTATAATTCTGAAAAGCTGAGCCAAATTTGTGTGCAACATGTAGGTAAAGCAACTGTGTCTTGTTGTTATTCCATTTCTGTCAATAAGAAAATACAGGTTCCTTTATATCTTTTTGCCCATGTTTCTCTAGGTAAGTCTCATTATTTCGATGGGTGTATGTCTGTCTTGTCTTGTCTTGGTACTACTAATATTACAGCCAATAAATATACAAGTCATTGTCTCATTGGTGGCTTATTGAACGTCTCCAATATAATTACAATGGGATTACAATTTCGTTTCATAATGCTTTTGTCTCCATTTTAATCTAACAGGTTTCTACCTCAGTCTCGCACAAAGTAATTAAAGAATGCCACATAGGACCTGTTTGATGATAGCAATGACGAATTCTGGATAGTGAAAACCAAAGAGGCTTTCATATTGCTCTTCTTTTCATTATTAAGAAACACGTCTGGTATTTCAAAACATACATGACCATTATTTCATTAATTGTCTACCTCCTTGTATGATTTCGAAATATTATCTTTTAAATTAAGAGAGAGTGCACGCAGTTATTTTGTCACGTAAAATTATAATACACTGACAAGACAGACAAAAACTGTCAGTTTCAGATTGAGTAGGATAAACTATTGGAGCTTAATACCTACAATTTAACATATAATTTTTATCACAAGGTCACCAAATTTTCAGTTGAAAATGAATAGTACAGTAGGGAGGGTTCGCCATATACGGGGGTTGATATGGGTTGTGAATATATGTAAATCAGAAGTACTAGAAATGTACGACAATAATAAATGCCTTCAAAAATGCCCCAAACGAGGAATTTCTATTTTTATATATGTCGTTTCTATATATGGCAGCGTCTCAAGAAATGGCGAGTCTTCTTTTTAACTTTCAAACGCGGATAATTCTTGACATATGTGGATTTGAAGACTTAAATTTCGACAGTGAGCTGCGAACACTATTATAATTGATTAGCTTTGCTAAAACAATGAGGTTTCTGAGACTAAGGTACTATTAGTCACATAAATGGCGAATTTGTCCGTTTAAAGAGAATGAGAAAGAAATTTTAAAGAAAATAGTTATCCATTTTTTTGGTATATTATAACCCGCTCTTTAGATACACAACTCCGATTTACATGAACCAACTTCATCGTTGATGGGTGTTTATGCTTCATATACTGGCTTCATAGAGCATATTGGTATTTGTAGTCCATAAATCCATAAAAGTGTGTATACATCCATTAAAGACCTTTGTTCAATTATGATCAGAGTGTTCCCGAGGCATCATAACAAGTTTCTGTTGAAAATAGTATTTAATAGTATATTCTACTAGTATTTGGTATAATTGTGATTTATGCAGCGATAATTATAATTAATTACTCGACCCTTCACCCACAGGAATAATAATTTTCAATAGAAATATTCGCAGTTTAATTGTGAAGGTTTCACTTTATCCCATTATACTAGCTATATGACTCTCAATATATTGGATATAGTTCAAAATCTACTTCGGAGTACTGGTAAAATCGGTTTAGGACGTGGACATCTTGCAAAGATACTTAAAATTCAACCGAATACACCGTCAAAATCCTTACTTGATCTATTTAAGTAAGGGAGCTACAGCGTTTTCAGGAATAAGGGTGATGACTATATTGCCGTTATTTTTCTCAAAATGACCCAATTCCAAAATGAAAATTGGGTTTTTGTTGTATGTATTTATTCCAAGTTTCAAGAAAATCGGTTGAAAACAGTTTCATCAATGTTTCTGATCTCCAGATAAGCTAACATTCGAATTCAATTTATTTAAAGAATATACACAAGTTTTGTTTGTCCAAAACAGTTCGAACGGACAGACTGTATTGCTTGTAATTAGGTTACTGGTTGAAATATTTCTAGTCCAGGTGAACAACGATTGTATCAGCTGCTGCTAGAATATGTTTTTAACCAAGTAACGTAGTTGAGTAAATAAATTTCTTGAAATTCATGGTATGTTTCAAATTTAATTCAAAAATGCCTTTGATAACCCTCAAAATTTCACGATGCATTTCGAATGTTGTCTGTTCATTGAATTTGACATACCATCTTCTCATTAATTTAAAATCATCCGAAGAGGAGATCTAAGGAAGTGGTGTGCAAGCCATGACCAGAAATACAATACTGAAATAAATGTGCTATAAAAAATAGATGTGCTTCCGAGTAATTTATGTAATTCAACAAATGTACACAGTCTGTTGCCTCTCGTGGAAATTCAAAAACTAAAAACTAATGGAAACAGGTAACGCTTCAGGGATAAAGACATACTCTTGCTTCCATTGGGGACGTTTATCTATAACCACATTTTGAAGGGATTCACATAAGGTTATCTATCTGATTAAGTATTTGGGACATTTTAGTGTATCTATCTCACTATTCTTAATTCTTATGTGTGACGTCACACGGTGTAGAATGATGCAAACTAAAAGTAATGTGATCAAAGTAAACATACGCAAGGTTAGGAAAAACAACGCATATCAAAATCATCCTCAAATTCTTAAATAACTTGTATGGCACCGTGCATGGTGTATGATACTCCCTTTAGAATTGCAATCAGTTATACTTCGTCAGGAATAAAAATACTATACTACTAATTAGAATTTAGTTTTGTCACGAGTTTACGTTAACATTACTACTAACACAATAAGCATCAAAACACTTTAGCTGAACGACTCTTTGAAGTATCAATTATTTTGTCATGTTATTCGTTCTTCTTGAACACAAGTCGTTACCCCTACAATTCAAGCATGATCGATATCAATAAGCGATTGGTATTATTCTGCCATTGTTGTTGAAAATGGTGTTGTGTAAGTGGTCGTGTAAATTGGTTTAGATTACATTAACAGAAATGATCCTGTGAAAAATGCTTTACTTACCTTTTAACTTTCATCCTTTTCAGTCTATTAAATTTATAACAAATTAAATTCCCGGAACAAATTAACCAGGTGAGATATATCACTAAAAAATCTTATCTCCCATAAGATCTACTGATTTCAAACTTTGACAACTTTCAGTTTAATTCACTTTACATACCTACAGTGTACAGAAATATTGAACAGATATTAACCAATAGATTTACAGTATTATACCAGATTGTCCAATAAGAGCGTTGAAATATTGATCAAGTAGTAACATTCTGATCGTGTTCCATTCATTCTCGACTGTATTAAAACCAGTATTAGTAATGATCGAGGTTCAACTTTATCATTCATACGATGGAGGAAATTCAAGCCTAATTCCTTACTTACCCAGCGATTGAAGCTTCTCTTTATGGTTTAGTAATACTTTGAAACATTGTGCTTAGATATTGTCTTTCTCAGTAAAATGTTATGCTAATCTTTCAATAACACATAATACTACTCTTAGGTACTCAGTTTTGTCTGACGGGGAACAAATAGGCTAATATAATGTGGTACAGATACTTTAATTCCGTAATACATCTTTAGCACTAGCTAAGTATTTAAGTAGTACTGCTACATTGTGACTCGTCAAGGGGAGTCGAAGTGCTCGGAGCTAAGTGCCACCCCCCCCCCCCCCCCCGTATCGACAATGTTTATAATCGTGGGTGAACGGAATATGGAGCTAAGTCGCAAAATTAACAAATTATCAATATTTGAAGAGCATTTCATATATGATTTTTATTTAATTCATCCTCCATCGTTCCATTATTTTCAAAAGTGGGTCTTTTAATCCAATGACGCACTTCAATGCTCAAATCCTCAAAAATATTAATCTGTATATTAAGATAACTTTTTTAACTTCCTGGGAACTATGTATGAAATATATAAATCAGACTTTATCTCGTTTATTTATTGAAATATTCTTTTTTCCTTTTCTCTGAAAAGTTTTAATCCTTTTTATTTCAGAATTATTCTTCTTCCGGTTTGAGCTAAT